GAAGAAGAAGAAGCTGAGGAGAAAAAAATAAATAAATAAAGGGCTCATAACGGGTTATAGCAAAGTGGGTGCAGACAAAAGCGATGTACGTCGTTGCTGACTGAGACCAGCAACCCTGGTCTACTAATGTGCATGCTCACGTTGGACTAAAATACGAGCTCTGGTTAGGGTCCAGCGGATAATGCTCCGAAAATGTTCGTATAATGCTAACCATAATGCTCCAAAAACTGCCTTATAATGCTGATTATAATGCTTCAGCAGGGGATATAATGCTCTTGGTTTGGGATAAAAATGGAAGAAAGTCTGCACATTGTCAAACTTCCAGAAAATTATGCATACCGTCGATCTGCATCTGAAGTTGCCACCTTATCTCTCACGAGCTCCACCACTTCTTGGCACTACAAGACATGATCGCTTCTCCATTGATTGCTCTCCATTCCAACTTTGATGCAGGGTTGTGGCAGAATAGTCGGTGTATCAAATCTTTCCCCTAATTATCCATGTAGTGAGAGATGAAACCATTATTGCAGGTAGTCATTCATTGTTGGGATGAAGTTTATCTTGGCAAATAGTATTCCTGCCTGCAGACAAGCTGTCACTGCGTCCACTCTGTGAATAATGTCTTCATCTGAAACACCAGACGTGAGGCCAGCTCCTGAGATCCGGTCTCAGATGGAGAGCCCTCCCATTTGCGGAAATCCTGAAAACACTTGGTCAGAAGTTATTTTGCCACTCTACATCCTTTGCTTGTACTCTCATCTTCTCCTTGAGATGCCACAATACTCTTCCTTTTTGATAGCATTTGACTGTAGAAGACGTTTGGAGGCTTCCTGCAGTTTCATAGTAGATACAATTGGGTGAACTCACCCATTCCACAATACTCTGCAAATTTCCGAACCATTCCATTATATACAACGTTTCGGCCAATGGCCTTCTTCAGGTAGTCAATGATGACTGTAGGCCTGGCATTACAACCGTCCACAACTAACTGTACGTGCTTCATCAGGAAAGTAAGCAGGCGCTGCTGAGCAATCGACTTGGTACTGAGTCCATGAGAAATTCTAGTTCTTTTCGAGCCTCCTGAGCTGGACTCGGCAAAGGCAGTTCTTTTGGAACGAGCTCTTTCTGTTTATAGCCGCTCCTTCATCCTGGTCCAAATTTAGCAATGCATCAGTGTCTACTTCAGTATCGCTAGAGATGCTATCGCCAGAGCCTCTGGCACAACTAGAAAACTCTTCTTCGTTTGTTTGATATTCACTTCGCGTATGTCTCCTCCGTAACTCTCCATTATTCTAAAACTAAAAGAAACCTCGTAAATATTTTCTCCGGATTTGTGTCACTTGAACTGCCTCGGCCTCGGTTGGGTATGCTTCACAAATGTCTTGTATGCATTTACCTGACCACATCGCTACAATCAACGTTTTTATATAGCAATAGTTATGTAGCGTTAGTGCTAAAGGTGTTACGTGTCTACACAAGCACAAAGTCATCCGCCGGTACAATGCATAGTGCTCAAACGCCCGGACTGGGCGGAGCGTAGTACGCAAGAGGTACACAAAAGGAGTAAAATAGGGCTGTTTCGTTGTTACTCAGAGTTTCATGGCAAAACCAATCTTCAGACAACATCTCATGATCATGATTGTAGCCGATTGTTGCCAAAAACCTGGGATTTCCCGATATTATCCACTATGAAACTCGTTATGCCGCTCAAACCTCACATAATGCTCGTTTTGTTCCTTTCTAATGCTCCATAATGCTCTGATGCTCGAATAGTCGTATAATGCCGAATATAATGCCGGCATTATCCGCTGGACCCTAGCTCTGGTCTACTCCAACTGAAAACTTTATATTAGTCTTGCGTTGCGGTCGAGCAAGCTTGCAAGGTGTATTTTGGCCTTTGACCTTCGGTTCTGAGTGCGCTGGTAGGTGCAGGGTTTGCGAACGAAACGAACACTAGTGTTTCCTGCCACTGTGCTCGGCATGCAATTAGCCCTTGCCGGATAATGGTCGAACAATTGGCAAATTCTGCTCGAAAAGCAGTGGAATTGGCAGAACCATCATGACAAGCCTTCTTGCAGGGCATTCCTCGAGTTCTGCTCCTCTCCTTGATCCACATACCAAACATGCATGCTACCTACAAGAAAAGTACCAAATTCTTCCGATTCTTCTGCCGGCAGTATCCGCCAAAGGCTACTGAGCGCTGACAACAAAAGGTACTACTATGTACATGTACATCTTAGTATTGATGAACAAAGTTTCATTAGGAACTGAGAAAAAAACTATTTTGGTGGGAGCAACGTTGCGATGTAATTCACAATGCAAACATCATGGGACATTCTGTATAATTTTTATGTACATGTAGATGTATTCTGTTTCGTAGTCATGCTGTATGTTCTGTTTCGTAGTTCTGTATGTTCTGTTTCGTAGTTCTGTATGTTCTGCTCAGCTAATTAGTCTTGTTAGTACATGTACTGTAGTAGTGTTTCGAGAGAGAAAGAGCCGAAATGTTAGGAACGAATTGAGCCGAATATCGATTTGTTTTTGAAGACTTGAAACAGTTTTAAGTTAAAAAGATGACCACAGTGTGAGTTGCAATGTCACTTCTATAACTTACAGGATTGGCACCCCTTGGAATTGCTTTCTTCCAGCTCTTACATCTACATTGTACATGTACATGTACATGTACATGTATTTCAGATTTACAAGAATGCAAGTGCCAGCTCTATCGTTAACGCGTTGCACATCAAAGCGTCAGTATCTGTGTAAAGAATGATGTCACTTGACTTTCCCTGTATTTCTTCTCCACTCAGGATTATCTGCTATCGAGGTAACATAATTATTATTTTCACTGTAGAAACCTTGTAAGCATTTCCTATAATGTCGACATACACGAGTGAAAAGCGAAACGATGATTGTACAATATGTAGGACACACCGCGAGAAAGAAAACAAAATAATCTACGTGTGCTTCGAGTACGTGGAGATAACAAAACATGTACATGTACATGTACAGGGCATGTATCAATGAATCAGAGCTATTAATTAAAGAAAGTTAGTATGAATGCCGCAGACATCACCACACAACATGATACAACATGACAACTTGTCATTATGCGTTCTTATTTCCAGAGGAAAGCGACGAAGCAGATGAACGTGGTGCTAGTAAGATCAAGAAGTCACTGCGTTGTCCCTTCATTTGGTATCTCGTCCAGATTGTTTTAGTCCTAGTGCACAATTATGTACATGCCTTTTGTACATGTATGGCGATTCTCACTTCTCTGTGTTGTGTCGTGCCCGTCGTGTACAGTCAGTAGGTGAAGGTCCTCAGTACGTGCAGTGAAGCTGTTTTTATTCATTGTAGCCTCACAGTCTGCGCAAAAGAAACAGCATGTTGTTGCACTACAAGAAGTTAGTTATTTTCGTGAGTCTCCCCCCCCCCCCCCCCTGTTGTTGCTACATTTTGTCACCTACATTACAAAATTAAAATGTCATTCAATGTAAGTCACACAATCTTTAGTCTCTGCACTAAGTGACAACATCTTGTATCATGTCACATGTGTATTACCAGACCTCTCCTAGAAAGATTACGAATCCTGATCCATCATATTCGGCTTTCAAAAACACCCCTACATTGTAAACAATTTGATTGGTTTCGATAGGATAGCTCCACTAGGAATCAACTCTCCCTTTCTCCAGCCCGCGGCTCCTCTGCATTGCAACACTCCCCCTTTTCAATGCCGGTTATTCGCAGTGGCTTTTGCTGCACCAGGAGACGAAGGACCTTTCTACTTTGACTGGCAGTGCATGCACAAAAGCCTTGCTGTAGACCGTAATTTTAGTCCAAATTTTTCTTCTTTTCCTTTTCTTTTCGACTTCTTATTGTTGTTCTTGTTGGCCGTAATTGGCCATAAAAACCAGCAATCGCCACGTAAAGTGTTCATTGGCTGCCCCAGCTATGTTTTGCTTGGAATAGAACTAAAAGTCTTTTAGAAAACTAACGCTTATTATTAGCAGTTTTGCGTCATTAATTTTTTTATCACTCCTTGGATATTTTTTATACAACCTTTGTTTTATCCATTTGTAGCTCCAGTCCCGTATTTTCCACTGACGATTGGAACTAGAAAATCGATTCAGGGAATAAGAACACATTGAAACAGTTACAAGCTGTCATGTTGCGTGGCGATGTCTGCGGCCTTCATACTTTTTATAGCTCTGATCAAATTGATCTATTTGTATATTATTGTATTTGAAGAATTACCCAGAGGCTCCATGCCTGTCCAGGGAATCTCCTACTCAGAGCAATGCATGTGTTCGGGAAATACCAAATCAAGGGCACATGTATTGAGAAGAGTACATGTGCTTCAAGTACGGTTAGCCGGATTCGTGGCCGCATTACCAGACTTATTGAGCTCTCTCTCTCTCTCTCTCTCTCTCTCTCTCTCTCTCTCTCTCTCTCTCTCTCTCTCTCTCTCTCTCTCTCTCTCTCTCTCTCTCTCTCTCTCTCTCTCTCTCTCTCTCTCTCTCTCTCTCTCTCTCTCTCTCTCTCTCTCTCTCTCTCTCTCGCTCTCTCGCTCTCTCTCTCTCGTACATGTGCTTCAAGTACGGTTAGCCGGATTCGTGGCCGCATCACCAGACTTATTGAGCTCTCTCTCTCTCTCTCTCTCTCTCTCTCTCTCTCTCTCTCTCTCTCTCTCTCTCTCTCTCTCTCTCTCTCTGTCTCTGTCTCTGTCTCTGTCTCTGTCTCTGTCTCTGTCTCTGTCTCTCTCTCTCTCTCTCTCTCTCTCTCTCTCTCTCTCTCTCTCTCTCTCTCTCTCTCTATCTCTCTCTCTCTCTCTCTCTCTCTCTCTCTGTCTCTCTTTGTCTCTCTCTCTGTCTCTCTCTGTCTCTCTCTGTGTCTCTCTCGGTCTCTCTCTCTCTGTCTCTCTCTCACTTGCTCGCACACACAATCTCTCTTCTCAGACGGTCACAAGGACTCTCACAGCACCAAGCAGCACAATCAAACACAGTGTGATAAACGGTACAAGGCCACGGGGGATGTGTACAACGAGCAGACAGATAAGCAAAACAAAACGGCTAAATCATCACTTCCACTCTTTCAAAAACCAATAACATAATAATAGCTCTAGACACCGAGAATAGAGGAGCAGAAAAGTCTCAATTCTCAAGGGCCAAGAAAAACCCGTATAGTGATATAACACATGGCATGGTGTAGCAACACAAAATACCGAGCAGACAGGTGTGATGAAGACATAATTATGGAACAAAGCAGCACAAATTTCTACCATACCCTATTGAACTATTCTAAGAGCAGTGATGAGCGAGCTGAATCAATATCTACATATCGGTGACACGATCGCGTAGAACGTCTGGTTTCAGGTGAGCCAGAACTTGTGTTAAAATTATGAACATCCAAATCTATAGTGCAGCCTAACGTTTTGTCATTTTGTCCTCATGTGGTAGGTATTCGGCGGGTATTCCTGGGGTCAGGGTCGGGCACGGATTGTTTTGCATTCGCTAGCAATCCTGGCACACGTCCATAGCACTTGCCAGTTCCTCAATCAGTAGTGGAGCAGGCCAGTGCCATGTTGGCAACTGCAACAGCTTACCAGCCAGCATCAGCAATTTACAATACCTACTTGAGTGCAAAACTCCTCTCTATTTCAAGCACAGAAATCCTGGCATTCGGACTTCGCTATCGCGCAACAATCCTCATTGGAAAAGAAAATGTTGCGCTCTATGTGCAAGTTTGTGATGGTGGCTGGTCAGCCATCTAATCTGGATACACAGCATTAAGGTAAGGGTCGACCTTACTGGCAAGTAGAGAGACCAGCACCGGATCACGTATACGAAACAACAACGAAGCAACAGACATGAAGACACACCAAGAGGGACACGGAAGTACGGCACGAGAAGAGACTGTGCAAATTGAGCACAAAGAATTGGAAGTAAGAAAACTTCACAATATTTTGAATAGGAAAGCATGCATCGTCTCCCTTGTCTACTCAAGGGGAATATGTAGACTACTGCTGTGAGTCATAGCAAGTACCTGCGATGGTCTGGTAAGTCATAGCAAGTACCTGCGATGGTCTGGTAAGACACAGTTGTACTGTGTGGACTAAACTTGTTGGCATTTCCATTTCAAACTCTTTTCACTAGGCCATAGTAGCAGGGTACGTGACAGCAGACACGAGCTATGCCTTGATAAGGCGGTAGATGTTGTGATACGTACCGCTTGTGTCGCTGCCCGACACCTCAAAGGCGTAGGCCAGGCACATGAGCAGCTCACCGGTGTCGCCGTTACACACCACCTGCATGATGGTGAAGTTCTCCAGCACTTCGTTCATCTGGGCGCGGCTGTCCAGCGCGACGAGCTTGCGAATGAACTTCACCATGTAGTCGCACATCTTGGACCGCATTGAGCGCACCATGTGTGCACCGTTCTCAAAGGTGCTGTTCAGAACCTCCACCTTCTGGACGACCGGCTGGCCAAACGAACAGACATCCGTTGTGCACTTACACTTGACTTGGTCTGCCGTCCGGAACACGGTGGAGACGTAGAAGTTCTCGGGGCCCGTCGCCTCAGGCATGTCAATATCAGCCCAGAACTTGACCAGGAAGAAGACATCCGGCGGTCCCTTCTCGTACAGATCAGACAACGTCGGAAACTTGTCACATACTTGCCGTATTTCAATGGATTCTAGCGAAGGATCGTGGAAATTGGTGGTCGGTGGTATGTGAACGAAACAGTGCTGCGAGAACACCACACCGTCTGAAGAGTCGGACGCTGGATGGTCCTCCTTGAAGGCCGTTAGCGAGACTAGCGACGAGCTGTTGTTGGTCATAGGCACTGGAGCAGACATACTAGTGACGCCACCAGTGACAGATGCAGCAGCAGCCGCCGCCACTGCGGGTGTTGCACTGATGTGATTCATGCCCGGGTGCACGACCTGCGATGTCTGCCCGACCAATGGCATGGTAGAGCCGTGTGCCGTCATGGGCATTATGAACCCCGGCGATACTCCCGCCATCATTGCCGGATGGCCCGCCGCAGCAGGTACGCCGTAGCGCATTGGGTCGTGGAAGCTATGAACAGCTGCGGATGAGTGCCACAACGGATTGGCCGCCGCGTTGCTGGGCACCGGGGCTGCACACAGTACTGCATTACCGAGTCCAGACGTAGTCACGGAGCCGCCATGCTGCTGCTGCTGCTCGGCCTTGAGCGAGCTTGAGCCGGTTGTAGCTGCTGCTGCACTGACGGCACCCACCGTCCTCGGCATCATCTGGCTATGACCATGAGCGTTAGGTCCCACCGGCATTGCAACGGGGGCCGGGCCGGAGGTCAGCGTTCCATCGCCGTGCTGGTAAGACTCCGGCTTCATCGCTGCTGCCAAGTGATTGCCGCCAGGTCCCCCAGGCGCACCACCAGCCGCGTTGTTGGCAGCCGAGGGATTGTTCATTTCGTCCCCATCATCGTGGAATTGCGTCGAGACTATCTGCGCACTGGACATACCTGGTAAGGAGTGGACAATGCTGTGTAGCTTCCCTTGCTCCTTATCAGTTGGCGCTTCCTTTAGTTTTGTTTGCAGCTCACGAGACCTCTTTCTGGCTAAGACTTGAATATGACTTGACACTTGTTTTCTTGTCCTGATCTTGCCGGTTCGGATCTTGATGTAGCGTGCAATCAGCTCGTTTCTTCCATACATTTTCCCTTCGTCAGACAAGATGATCTTTCGTCGTCCACACGGAGGATAAATAGCCAACGCTTCCTGGAACGACTGCTCAATGTCCGGCGACCAGATTCCCTCGGCATCATCCCGGTTGACTCCACCGTCACCGTCTGGGTCACTGTCTCCATCACCGTTCTGCTCATCATGACCAGCACTGGGTGACCCAGTGCCGCCAGTGCCTGCTGGGCCAGCTGCAATCTCACCACCAGAAACATTCGAAGGAGCAGCACTAGCGGCGGCGGCAGCAGCAGCAGCAAGAGACACAGTGCCAGTGCCGCCCACTCCAGCATTAGACTGAGCCACCGCCATACCGCCTGCTGCTGCAGCGTTGCCAGCACCTACGGCATCGTGCTCCAGCGGTGCCATGCCAGTGTTAATGGTCGAGGGCGGCACGTGATTGTGCGAGTTGGACACCGTGTTTGCCACTGTTTGGATGGTGAAAGGAGGGTGCGTGCTGAACGGACCAGGTCCACGGGCAGTGATGTCGTGGTACGCTATGGACACTGGTGGACCAGTATTGGCGCTAGCAGCGGCTGTACTGGGGGCTTGAACAGTTGGGATGCTGAGAGTCTGCGCCGCAGGGACAACTCCAGGTACAGCACCAGCCACCTGCGGCATCCACATGTTTCCCCTGTAACCAATACGAACAGAAAACAAAAGCATAACATTCCAGAACTCAGCCGACCAGATACACATGTTCAGGTTCAAGCACAATGCCAAATCAGGCCGATAAACTGTTCGCATAACCATGTACAAACAAAATTGGCATTCAGGACAAATGCAAATCACGGTCGGTGCACTAAGTCTTCAACATGGGTTCGTATGTACCTCAGTGGCTGAGAATACCCTGGCGTTGGCGGCTGACAATACACGTGTGGCTCAGAATACCTTGGCGGCGGCGGACAATACACGTGCGGCTGAGAGAGAGAATACCCTGGCGGCAGAGCGCCATTAGAAATGACGATTGCGCCACTAGGTAAACCTTGCATCTGCTGGTGCATCCTGGACTGGTGTTGGGGAAAACACCGGTATGAAGCTGACAACTACTGCGTGTGCTTGGAGCACAAATAGAACTTGATGGAAAGTGTATCTGGTACAGACTGTGTCCTGCACCCTGCTAGTCCTCAAACTACTTCAAAGGCACACCACACAACGACTCGGACAGGTCAGCAGTATGCTGGGCACTGCACTGGACAGTCTATTCAAGGCCGCTATTTACTACCCTTCTTTGAACAAATAATTCGCAGTCACGATCTCTCTAGCAGTAAGCGCGCATCCGGACAGGAAGTAGCGGAAGATCACAGTTGATCTACATTCATGCCGTTGGCACACTTTTGCACAGGACACGCGCTGATTATTGCTTCTACTCGAAAAAATTCCACAAACCGTCACAAATTCAGGACGCCATTGACTGGCATCTGACCCGGAGAATTCCAAAAGCAAACAACGTTGTTCTGAGCTACAAGCAAAGAATTTATACAATCTGAGAAAAGACACGTCGCCAGCGAGCTGCCATGCATATGCCATAGCACGGCTGGTGAAAGCATAGCAACTCACACTGAGGGCACTGCTGGTGGCATTATGCTCGCGTCATTTATATCATGCAGAGAGCACAAATAATTGCCTCCGCAACGGGTAGCGCGGCTGTGTGAGATGCGTAAGCGCCAAATTCAATGACTACACGTACACACACTCTCACCTCCTTTCACGTCGTTGCTGGCTTCACCATCACACTGATCAGCATATCGGCACACAGACCAGGGGACGGAAGAAGGCCACAGCGCGTCTGCTCTTCAAAAATGATGGAAACTGGCCCGCTGATAGACTGGCAAGGCCACTCGCGCAGAGAGGACTGCTCTCACCCAGCTAGACCGGCCACCTTCCTCCAACACTGGGTGCAGGTGCGACAAAATAATTCTGTCTTTGAACAGGAGGAAAAGGCAACGCAATACCGTAGATCTACATCTACAGTAACAATATTACACATGCATTAGATAGGTCCGAGAGGCTGGTGGTAGAGCTAGAGGTGGTGGTGCACCGGTGGTGGTGGTGGTGGTGAAGAAAACCCCTAGCCCTCGCACTTGCGAGACTTGCGCACATGTTTAGCTACGTGCGATCGATAGGTGATCATGGTGATTGCTGTATATCGTATACGCGTAGGTACTGACTCTAGACTAGTCTAGTCTAGCCCAACACTGATAGTACATGACTGTACTGTGAGTCATGTACTGTGAGATAGCCATGCGTCCATGTTATGTGCCCGTAAATGCCATGCATATCATCGACATCGCGCGTTGCATGCAGATGAAAAAAAGTGACTTCACTGTTTCGTTCAATAAAAATAGTGCATGGACAAAAAATAAAAATAATCACAGCACAGCTACAGACATAGACGTAGACGTAGATCTACGTAGACCAGTAGACCGTGGTCCGTGGACCGGCCGAGACTGCGTCATCGGTAGATCTACTGTACTGACTGTACAATGACAATGTATTGTACTAGTGTACAATGTGTGTAGTGGTCATCATAGTCATGTAGTCTGACGGCGCTCTACAGACGTACAGTGAAACCTGTCCAAGACGACCGCTCAAGGGACCTTCAAAATGTGGTCTCTGTTACCAGGTGGTCTACTTATCCAGGGTCATTTGACTGGAAAAAGCATCCCTTGATCCTGGTTTCAGTGGTCTTCTTGGACAGGTGGGTCACCTTATCCGAGTGGTCGCCTTGACAGGTTTAACTGTATTACATTTTTGTGTAAATTGTGGTAGCTTTTTTGGAGACTGTCTCATAAAAATACTATTAATTAAAAAAAAAACAATGTTACATGATCATGTATGCAGTGTATGTGTTTAGTGGAAAGTGCGGTACCCACAGTCATGTAGATTTCACAATCATAATCATTGCTGCTGCTGCTGCTGCGTAGCCCTTGAATCGCCTGTACTCGAGTCTTGCACTATGGACAGTAATCAGTATGGTTATCCCTCGCCTTGCGCTCCCTCTTCATGTTCAGGCTGCCTGTTTTGGAGCCATCAGTTGCCTGATGATCGTCAAACTCGGAGTCGCAACATGGCTTCCACGGCGTCTATTTTTCTCTCTCTTGTGTAGATTCTACATTGTACCTGAAGACTAAGGGCGCGTTCGAATTGCCACTCTTTGACTTTTCGAGGAGTTTCGTTTTTCTGAAGAGGTGGCCTTATTGGCCTCTTCAGAAAAACGAAACTCCTCGAAACTCCACAACCTCATCCAATGGGAGAGGTGGATTAGTTTCGAAGAGTTTGGAATAGCTACGTCGAGATGGTCGATCTAGTCGGACGTCATTATCGCCATGACTAGGGGTGTGCGGATAATGCTCGAAAAGGTGGCAGGTTCTGCACGAAAAGCAGTGAAATTTGCAGAACCATACAAACCTTATGGCGGGCAATTCCTCGAATTCTGCTCCATTTCTTTATCCACATACATGTACGTACTAAACATGCATGAAACTTACCAGAAAAAGTACAGAATTCTGCCAATTTTTCTGCTGGCATTATTCGCATACATGTATGCCTAGCCATGACAATTCCAATGAAAAACTCTTAAAATGATAGAAACCGTTCTATTGGGACACTTCAACTAATAATAATTTGTTCGAACAGTTGATGAAGACCATTCGAACGCCCCCTTACTACATGATTGTATACATGTACATGTACATGTACCAGGGACTTCAGACCACGTGACTTCTTACTCTTAGCCCAAAAGCGTGCAAATCGACGCCTGCACAAATCGTGTGATGGTCATATGTCAAGTCGTGTAAAGAAATGTGAAACCGTTTTTCGAAATGAAGGAAGTCTTGTACAGTTGGAGACAGTTTCGGTTCGTCTTGTTGGAGCTTGCCTTCGTTTGGGACCAGCAAGAATGGAGCTGTTACGTTCATTTTTGACGGAGATACGTATGCGGATGGAAGGGAAAGGTGAGAAACCATATGACCCGTCTGGGTCCCCTTCTTGAAAATGTGATATTCGTATTCTACGACCTCGAATTAATCTGGATAGAATGTAATCTTTATTGTTTTCACCTTCCAGAAGACCTATTTCTTGCATTATTCCTCTTTGTACTTTGCCGTGCAGCGCCGCCATAGTCACAGTATGGAAAGCAGCGAGAAGTATCCTGCGCTAAATGATGCTGATGTACAAATTGAATTGCTCTTGGCTGTTTCGGTCCCTGCCTCGATTCTTGTCTCCAATACTGTTATGCTCGATCTGGTTGAGCTCCGCAAGAATAGCTGAAAGAGTGCCGAACTGGGAGATGTGCTGTATTGTTGCTATTTGCTGTATCTCTGCTGATGATGATGTGCGTGCTACGATTACCCCAGCCAATACAATGTCCTGTACATGTACATGTTGAGCTTAGTTAGTGCCTCTTCCGTGATCATTCTTTTTCTTGACACCAACCACGCCAACAGTCCGAAGCTATCTCAGGACTGTATTATCAATGTCTCCTGTTACTACCCACTACATTGTAAACCATACTATTCAGCTATTTCATGCGGAGAACCAAGATTGTTTTGGATCTGGTGTGCGGTTGCTATGCGTTGCCAAGGAAAGTGGGTTCTCTCAGTTTGACATATCTCTCTGATCTCAAATGTGTGGGACGTTTGTCGGACAAATCCGGTGATAGGCGATGACTATTTTGCTTGTAACTTTAGTTTCCTTTGTCCGATTTAGAAAAACTAAAGACCAAACTCCTCAAGAAGCTCTAACCTATCCAAAAAGCAAAACATAACTATGATAAGCCACAGAAAACCGATTTGAAAAAATGGTCTGAAGTCCCTACCATTGTAGTGTTGGTACATGTACATGTATGTACGTTATGACTTACATTTTTTTTCGGGGTAACAACGGCCTCTTTTACGGGCAAAATAAAGTCATGTAGACGTGAAAAAAATAGAGATACCATGAAAGGTAAAATAAAATTTTATTCAAGTACAATACATTGGGAAACTCCAAGAAATTCCACGTAAAACAGACGAAATTCAGTTCTCAATGGCCGATGCCTACTCCAGCACCATCCTGCGTCGACAGGCCTGTCAGGCGCCTTCTAGACCCGCGTAGCCGGAGGTCGACTGCATGGATCACTGCAAATAATTAATTGGCTGCGAACTCGCACCCAAGCCATGATGATTGAAAATGGCTTGTCCCACTTGAGGGCGAGGCGACCAGCAAGTCGCTTCTGATAGCTGGCGTATTCGCGATGTAGCACCCCATCCGTGGAACAAACCGGTGGTGTGAACGACCCACGGAGGTCCTCGGAGGCCTGACGGTAATTCTTTTTCTTCGCGTTAGCAGCGCGGTTGGAAGTAGCTTCCCAGGATGTGCATGCAAACGCCTAGCGCCTGTGTGTTTCTGAACCTTCACTTCATGATTCAGCGATGCTGACGCGGATACCGCAAATAATACAAAAAGGCGCAAGGTATGGGTAGTATTCAAACGTGAGTGCCGCATATTTTTGTTCAATATTAAATTGAACTACAATGTACATTGTACATGTACGTAGTTGGCATACAAGTACAGTATTCTACGGATGCGCGGAGAATCAAGACAAGGTAGAATCTGCATCATTTCTGCTATGCTGGCTAGGCACCGGCGGATAATCTGATAATGCCGACAGAAAAAGGGCAGAATTCGGTACTTTTTCTGGTAAGTTTCATGCATGTTTGGTATGTGGATAAAGAAATGGAGCAGAATTCGAAGAATTGCCCGCCATAAGGTTTGTATGGTTCTGCCAATTTCACTGCTTTTCGAGAAGAATCTGCCACCTTTTCGAGCATAATCCGCCGGTGCCTAGTAGGCTCCGGCGGATTATGCTCGCGAAATCATGGAATTATGCTTTCATGGATTCTCGCATTATGCTCGCAAAATCCTCATATTATGCTTTGGCACGCAGGAATACGCATTCACTTTGTTGTACTTATGGAGCCTCAAAGTTTGGAAAATTGTGCGTTTTTCGTACATGTACTTGCAAGTGGCCATAATTCCCACAAAATACATGAGTATCCCCATACCAAGGTGTCCATGCATGCTAGAGATCAATAAAGAAAGAGAAAACATTGCATCTTCTATTCACTACAACTTCTTTTGTAAAAAGATTTTTCATTGCTAAATTTTGTTTGAGTTACCTTTCAAAATTATCATGTTCAACTGACTGTCTTCGTAATCGTCATACTCGTCCAACCGATGTCAACCTCACCCTGCGAATAATCAGCTCATCTCTCTCGTAGCTCCACCTCTCCTTCCATCATCATCGAACATCAACAATACCTCACTTGATATATTTTTAATTTTTAGAGAAATATCCATAGCCTGCACAGCCACGGCTGCTAAAATGCCGAGGTCACGACTTCGTAACATGAATAATGTACATGTACGCAGAGTCCGTTTGCGGACTACCCATCACTATCTCGTCCACCTCGGGATACCTCATAAAACCCTGCTTTTCACTGAAAACTATATCTGCATGACCTCCAAACCCTTTACCAAACAGATCACTAGCGCTGATCAGGTGCATTGTATACAATTCTGTAGCCTACATACTAGAATTG